AAAGCTTGAAACAACTTTAAAAGGGTCAAAAAGGGAAATCAAATGATTAGGTGTTAGCTTTTAACCTAACTGCATCCATTTTTCATTTGATGGGGTGGGTGCCGTCTGGCTTTTTAGGTCCTTACCATTTTTTTTAATATATCACCTGAGCCTATTTCACCTCCTCAGAATGAAAAATAACACTATAGCCCTGGATTCGAGGCATTCGGCTTAGAGGGAAGGCCACGTTTCAGTGAGTGTGGGAGTTGATTGTGCTTTCTGAACGTTGAGGGTTTAGAGCTGGAGGTTCTGTAGCACGTTGGAAAGATGAGACACCCAGGGCACGTGGGCGAGGATCGGTCTGACTTTGGATTGACACCATCTCCAGTGGAGGGCTCTCAACTGACTGAAGGCGAGATCGATCCAGACCTCCCAGGGAAACGCTTGAGGTGGAATCTGATTGTGTTACAGGGAAGGCAAATTTAGACTTGGGTTTCTTTGTGAAAATAAAAGCAGAGGTATTCTTTTATTCTGAAACTTTGATTTATTCTAGAGGACAAAAGATTTTTCATTGATTGCTGAAGTCGTCTTGGGAGTTGCTCTGTGGGGTGCATGAGTGTGAAGTTCGGTGGGTTTATGACAAGAACCCGGCCCAGTGTGAGCTACCTGCCCTGTCGGCAAGCTGAGCATGATTCGAGAAAGCCTTAGAGATCAATGATTTAAGTTCATTAAGTTTAAACAGTTCATGAAATTTAAACATTTAATTTATTAAAGTTGGTGCTCATCCATTCAAACGGACTTCTGGAGGGAATATTTATAGGGGGTTTCATAAAAGGTTTCATCTCATTGGTTTGTACAGCAGAGACTGGCAAGGGTTGAGTAGAAGGATTTCTCTGATGTAGAGACAGGACTTCTCTGATGTGCTTCTGACCTCTCTTTGGTGTCAGTAGAAAAGCACCAAGTGCTAGCAACACATCAGCCAGGCCCTGGGGAACTCGGGGTGCCCCCTCCCCCTGCTTTACCTTTGATTCTAATTCCTGCATGACCCAGAACAGATCAGGCACAAAGCTGTCTGCAAGGATGCAGGTTAAAGATAGATCTCTTAGTGCGAAGGCGAAGGATTTATAAACATGACTGGAAGATTTTAAGGACTCTTCTGGCCCTCTTTGAATCACCCTCTTTTGAAAGCATTGTGCTCTTTGAATATGCCCTCTAGGCACCCCTGGGGAGGAAGACAGACCTGAGCCACTGGCCTTGTAGAGGGGGACTGGGGTGGGCGGAGCTAAGGGAGCGTGGTGTGTGCCGGGTGGGTCAGGCCCCCAAAGGAAAAGGCTAACTGAATCTTGCTTGGTGACCAAAGCCCTGTTCATTATAAGGAGCATTCATTTGCCAGAAGCATCTGTATAGCTCTCCTTCCAGACCGGAGATGGTGAGGCTGTGGCGCTGTGTAGGATTTACCACAGTGAAGTTATGGACACCATACTTACCCTTGAGATGCCCAGAACGACTCTTAGGATGCTCGTTGTTGTTCTAGAGTCAGTTCTGATTCATAGCGACCCTGTGTGCAACAAACCATTGCTGGTCCTGTGCCAGTCTCACAGTTGTTCTTATGTTTGAGCCCAATGCTGTAGCCTCTGCCTTACTCTTTTCCACGGCCGTCTGCTTTCCCAAGCATGAGACCCCGTCTCTCCCGGCAGCATCTCCAAAGTATGGGAGAGCGAGTCTTGCCATCCTCTCTTCCAGGGAGCATTCCGGCTGCCCTTCTCATAGGACAGACTTGCTTGTTCTTCTGCCTGTCCATGGTCCATTCAGTACTCTTCCACACCATCATTCAACTGCATCAATTCTTCTCCGGTCTTCCCTTTTCATTGTCCCACTTTCACGTGCATAGGGGGGATTGGAAATACCATGACGAGGGTCACAGGCACTTTAGTCCTCCAACGGACATCCTTGCTCTTGAACAATTTAAAAAGAAGTCTTGTGCAACCGATGTGCCCAATGCAATGTGGCATTTAATTTCTTGACTGCTGCTTCCGTAAGCATTGATTGCAGATCCAAGCAAGATGACATCCTTGACACCTCTCATCTTTTCTATGTTTATCATGTTTTTCATGCTCACTGGTCCAGGTGTGACGATTTTGATTTTTTTTACATTGAGTTGTAATCCACATGGAAGACTGCAGTCATTCATCTTCATCAGCAAGGTCTCTAAGTCCTCCCTGCTTTCAGCACGCAAGGGCCTGTCATCTGCACCTTGAAGGTGGTTAAGAAGCCTCCCTTCAATCCTAATGCCGAGGTTTTCTTCACTACTTCAGATTCTTGGATTATTTGCTAACACATGGATTAAACAAATATGGTGAAAGGATATAACACCGACACACACCTTCTCTGATTTTGAACCACGCACAGTTCCTGTGTTCTGTTCAAGTGACTGCTCTTAGTCCAAGTATAGGTTCAGCACAAGAACAGTGAACTATTCCCGAATGCCCCTTCTTTTGAATGCTATCCACAGTTCGTTCTGATCCACACAGTCGAATGCCTTTGCATAGCCAACAGAACACAAGTAAATATCTTTCTGGTATTCTCTGCTTCGAGCCAAGATCCATCCATCTGACGTCAACACTGCTATCCCTCATGCTACACACAGCTTCTTCTGAATCCCGTTGGATTCCTGGCAGCTCCTTGTCAACGCACTGCTGACACCATTGTGGGATGATCCCCAGCCACGTTTTCCTTGCTTGAGACATTGCTGATCTCATTCGATGATGTCAGCCTTCTGCTGGGTCACCTGTCATTGGAACGGATCTTCACCATCTGATGCAGATGGCAGGAAAATTTCATCCTGTCCATTTAAGGCCAAATTCCTTTCAGTAAACACTGAATCACATTTAGGACTTAAACTCTACTCAAGATTCAGATCCCCAGCTGGGGCTTGGTGCCTCTGAAGCGCACTCCCCTGGTCCTCTCCTGTCCCCTGGCACATCTGGGAGCACGTTTTATGGAAGGGGAAACCGGAGCACTTATGTGGGCACTGCCTCTGACTGCCCTGACTGAGAGCTGGCTGTTCACTATGGGTTTCCGTGGCTCAACGGTGGGTTCTTCGATATCAGACCAACCAGAATGTCTTCATTTGTGTCCTGGGCTTCTTCTGGTTCCTCTGGTTTCCCTCATAACCAGCGGGAGCTATGAGGCTTCTCGCAGACCCCTATGCCTGGGGACCTCCTCTGAGGTGCTACTTCCTGAGAAGGACCCGGCCCTTTTCTTCAACTTGGTGGTACCTTTGTTGGGTTCCTCTTATATAACTCCTCCTCACCCAACCCTGTGTCGAGGCCCAGGAGGGTGGCATGGTAGTTTCAAAGTCATGAATTAATATTCTTTCCCCTTCAAGTTGAGATTTCAGAAAGTTGGGAAGACTCAAAATGATTTTATTATCAAAGTAGAACCACCACTAGAGACATATTAAAATGCTTCCAAAACTTTTTTTTTTGTACAACTGAATCAAGAAATTACATTATCACACACTCCGTGTCCTGCTTTTTCTTCCATTGGCATGTGTAGCATTTACAACATCTTTTTTATAGCAAGTGTTAAAAGTGTACCAAGTAGAAACATTTTCTAATTGTTGGGAATTTACGTTGTATTCCTAAGCATGGTAAATAATCTGACCTGCTGAGCTCTTTCAGTGTTTTGTTTCTTTCCCCACCGCCAGGCCAAATTCCCAGAAGCTGGAGTCCTGAGTCACAGGTAGGTACATACCATGACTCGATCGATATATATGGTGCAAATTTATAAAACCAAAGGCTACGTGAGAGTGTTGATTTGATCTCATCCTTGCTACGATGGGATATATTCCATTGATAGAATATTAAGGAGTAAAAATTGTATTTGAAATAGAAGCATCTTCGATTAGTAGTGAACTTTACTGTTTTCATTTTTGTGTTATTAGTTGTACGTCTTTTGTGAACGGTTTGTTCTTGTTGGTTGGCCATTTACCATGAACTTTCTGCTCTGTTTCAGCTTCCCTCAAATATGAGAAGCACAGAGGTCTGCAGCTACCTCCTCGAGACAAATAAAGGCAGGCTCGAAAGTTAGGGTGCCTCATTGTTAATCATTTTTTGCGGATCATTCGGAATTTCACAATTCTTTAAACAGCCTTGCCTGTCACAAATTTGATCAACTCTATTTCATCCTTAATATCACAGTTTGAAGAAATGGGCTTCAGGACCATCTGCCCTCACCCACCCCATCACCATCCCTTGGGGTTTTCATCATCATCCTCTCTGAAACTACACCTAACATCTCTTACTCCATCTGTGTTGCTAACTTGGAGAGCTACGTGATTATTAGTCTTCCCACGGAAATGTAGCTTTAGGAGGTGTAGACGATTATTAGTCTTCCCACGGAAATGTAGCTTTAGGAGGTGTAGACGTTCAAGCCAGAGTGAGTAGTGTGTGGAATTGTACACTGGCCAGTAGGCGTGAAGATTTTCAAGGCTTTCTGAGCATGCATTTAAAGCCATAGTGCTCCCCTGTGTAAGTTAGGCACCCCAGTGCTGTGAGTACAGCCTGTCCCCATTCCTGTAACAATAGCTCACAACTACATAAGATGTAGTACAGGCTGGGTTCTGTGCTCTGATTTACGGACATTGCCTTGTCTCACAACTAGATGGGTCCTATCTTCCCTGCTTTACAGATGAAGAAAGCAAGGCACAGAAAGATTGACTCTCCACAAGGCCACATAACTAGAACTTTGATGAATGAGAGACCAGTTGGTTTAAGCTCCAAATACCTCATGTTGATATCTACAGTCTCCTTTTGTGTGTCTGGTAGGGATACTGCACATTCACATTCTACAAGGTCACAGCGTTTCCCTTCCTCACCTTGAAGGGAGATTTTTGCTGGGCTTTGGATCATTTGCTGCCTTCATCGTGGGGAGGGAATGTAGGGGTGGGGGGGTAAGGGGCACCATTGAGCAATGACAGAATTGAAGAGAAGCCCATCTTCATTAGGGGCCCTGGTAGTCTAGTGGTGAAGCATTGGGCTGTGATCCACATGGTTGGCAGTTCAAAACCAGCAGCAGCTCCTTGGGAGAAATACTGGGCTTTCTATTCCCATAAATAGTTATAATATCAGCACCCCATGGGGGGCCACTGAGTCAGCATTAGCAGTGAGTTTGGAGGGCTTTTTTCTTTTAAAGATATCTATTATCCATAGAAGAAAAACAAATGAGAAGAGGTTTAGAAGTTTCCAGGATAACATCCATTATTTAACACCCATTGGTACAGCACTAAGTTGAATAAAGACAATAATATACAAGGCTGGCTGTGTGCATGTTGGGGGTGGGGCAGGGAGGTGGGCTTCAAAAAGTTTATGGGAAAATTCCATTCTCAATTCTGTGTTTCTGTGAAGCATTTGAATCTCCCTCATATAATTTCCCCTGATCCCTCCTTTTGCCATCTCTTCAAAGATTTGTGGATTTTTTTAACGGTGATATTTGTTTCTTTTGAACCTGGCACTCCTTGGAAGTGGGTCTTAGATGAAGACCAGGGGCCTGTACTCCTGTGAGTTGCACACGGCCTGTGTGGAATCTGTAGGAATCAGGATGAGAACCTTCTGCTGGCCCGAGTCTGATGAAAGGGCATCAGATGTCAAAGATAACCATGGCCCAGGAACAAGATTCCCGATTCTGTCTGAGGCGTCAGTGCTAAGTTTCAAGACAGGCTCTGACAGCTTTGATGACTAAACCTAATTTGGCATGGTGAATGTGTATTCTATCTTGTTTTGATGCTCCTTACATCAGTCAATACTCTGCCCAGAGAATCCTTCAGTATTGAAACTCGAGGCTTGACTTTTTTCTTTAGTCCTTTCAGTTTAAGATACGCTGAGTGCGCTCTTCCTTTTTGCTTTTCTAACTGCAGGTCTTTACTCATTTCATTATATTTAACTTTGTCTTCTTGATCTACACTTTGAAAATTCTGTTCAGCTCTTTGGCGTCATCATTTCTTCCATTTACCTTAGCTACTCTATGCTAAGAACAAGTTTCAGAGTCTCTTCTGACATCCAGTTTGATATTTTCTTTTTAATGACTTTTACTTTCTTCATGTGTGATGTCCTTGATGTCATCCACAGCTCATCAGGGCTTCTATTATCAGTATCCCATGTGTCAAATCTGTTCTTGACATGTTCTCAAAATTCAGGTGGGATACACACACGGTGACATTTTGGCTTTCATGGATTTGTTTTAATTTTCTTCAACTTCAACCTGAACTTCTATATTAGCAATTGACGATCTGTTCCACAGTTGGTCCCTGGCTTCATTTTTGCTGTTGAGGTTGAGCTTCTCCACCATCTCTTCCCAAGGATGTGGTCAGTTTGATGTCTGTGTATCCCATCTGTAGAATTCCACGTGGCTAGTCACCACTTGTGTTGTTGAGAAAAAAGGTATTGTTGATGAAGAAGTTGCTGGTCTTTCAAAGAGACACAGGCCCTCCAGGACCTAAGTGGCGGGAATTACATGAGGACATGGATACCAGGGGATCTGGACATCTTAGACGCTAGCTTGTCTACCACAGACACTGATGATGCCTGCTGACTGCCCTTTGTTCGCTTCACAAGTCATTGCTGGCTAGAAGCATCTCTGTCAGAAGACTTGAAGATAGAAATCATTTTATTGCACATCAGTCAGAAAACCTAATTTTAAACTCCCCATTTGGCTCTGTGTGGCTCTGGGTCAAATGTGATTTTCCAGGGTCTATTCTGGAGTTTCCCGTGGCTGTCTTTCCCTCTCTAAGGGCCCGGCATCTGGAACTTTCTGCAGAAGGGACTGAATTCTCGTGGCTCTTCAGTGATGGTCAGTGAATGATGGTGAATTAGCTAATGGTAATTATGTCTCCTTTGTTGAATTTAAAATAAGTTGGACTTCAGGGTGAGAGATTGTGTTAGTCTGGGCAGACTAGAGAAACAAATTCAAAGACACTCATGTATATAGGAAGAGCTTTAAATAGAGTAATTATACATTAAGAAAATATCCCAGCCCAGTCCAGATCGAGGCCATAAGTCTGATATTAGCCCATATGTCCAGTGCCAGTCTATAAATTCCTCTTCAAACTCACGCAGCCATGCAGTGACGCTGAATGCAGGGAGATCAGAGGCCAGTGGGTAGACAGTCTTGTGGATCTAGTGCCTTTCAGCCCTGGCAGGGGTCTCCACCTGGCTCCTTCAGCTCCAGGCCTCTAGCTCCATGTGTCCTCTCAACAGGAATGCCTCTCAGGGAATGAGTGAGTGTCCTGCCTCCAGCGAGCTGTTTACCTCCTTAGCGACTCCAGATGAGGTCATCAAGCTGTGATCTGATTGACAGGCTAAACTCTACCCCTTCCCTTTTAAGTCTCAAATTGACAACAGATTAGGTAACTACCACAGAGATAACCTCAGGAACTTCAGCTATGAGTCAAAGGCGACTCAATGGCCATGGAGGGTTTTTGGTTTATGGATGTGGTAATTCATATAAAGAAGTCTTGTTTCCTGTCTAACATTTGAACAACTCCCAAAGCCACAGGATGGCATTAGTCTCCTCAGCACTTGCTATTCTGAAAGTGTGTCTGGGAGAAGCTGGAGGCATTTAGGATTCTTTTTTGATCCTGGGTTAGCTAGAGGAGCAGTGACTAGGCAGCAGGGGCAGAAGATGCACCATGCAGCCAAATAAGTATGTTGCAACAGCTGTACTGGTCAAAGTCTGTTTCCTCGTCTCTGAGAGGCTGTGTCGTGTAATAGTTAGGGCCAACGTGCTCCCGTTTGAATTTTGGCTCTGCCACTCATGAGCTGTGGGGCTTTGATGCTAAGAAGAAATTGATGAAGAGGGAAACTGAGTCCTCCCAGATAAACTTTGGATCTAGCTGATCGAACCTCTCTGTGACTAAAGTTTTTCATCTCTAAAATGGGTACAAGAAGAGTAGGACCCTCAGAGGGTTCTAGGAAGGGTGATGTGAGTAAAACGCATGTGAGTCCTCAGAAGAGTCCTAGGAATTAACAAGAAAAAACCTCACTGCCACCGAGTCAATTCCGACTCATAGCGACCCCACAGGGCTGAGCAAAACTGCCCCTGTGGGTTTCCAAGGCTGTAAATCTTTACAGGAGTAGAAAGCCTCATCTCTGTAGGAGGGGCTGGTGGGCTTGAACTGCTGGCCATGTGGTCCGAGGGCTGTAGATGATGAACAGGTTGTAGATGAGTGGCCAGGGTCTCTCTGCTTACATTTTTGAAGTATTCCCAGTGAGCACTGATTTAAGGGCATTTGGGGAGCTGGTGGAGATGAAGCCCATTGTTGTGGAGACAGTTCTGACTCACGGAGACTCCATATGTGTCACAGTGGAACTGTGCTCTACAGAGTTGCCAACGGCTGACATTTCAGAAGCAGATCTGCAGGCCTTACTTCTGAAGGGGCCCTAGGGGAACTTGAACTGCCAACCTTGTGGTAAGTCACTGTGCCCTTTGTATAGGCCAGGTTGACCTAGTGGAGATGCTAAATCGAAAGCCTCAAGCTATCCTTTGACATCCCTGCTCTCTGAGATCCTCGAGGTAAGAAACACTGTCAGAAAATATTAGAAGCAGAAGGTGCACTGCCATTGCATAGCTGAAGACGAGGAGGCCCAGAGAAGTTGTGTGACTGTATCAAGGTCACACAGTGAACAGCAGGTCTGGGACTGCAACGAAGGCTCCTGGTTTCCCGTCTAGTCCTCCAGGAAACACACTTTATTCTTTTGGAGTGGGGAGCTTGGGGGAGTGGGGAAGGGGCTGCAGCCAGAGGGAGAATCGGAGGCAGCTGGACAGCTCCTGTATTTCTCTCTGGCGGAAAACTGAGTGGGTTTAGGATAAGAATAATTTTGGATTTGAATCTAAACAAACAATGGTTGCTGAAATCGCTGATACAACTATCTTCAAAGCGAAGATGCTCTTCCCAGACTA